CTCGATAAAATAGTGAATAATAGAGACATCACACTGGCAATGAAGATCCACATAGTTAAAGCAATGGTAGGTGACTATTGCTTTAACTATGCGAAGATCCGATATAGTTAAAGCAATAGTCACCTACGGATGTGAGAGCTGGACCATAGGGAAGGCTGAGTGAAGAAAGATAGATGCTTTTGAACTGTGGTGCTGGAGGAAAGTTCTGAGAGTGCCTTGGACAGCAAGAAGATCCAACCTGTCCATACTTCAGGAAATAAAGCCCGACTGCTCATTGGAGGGAAGGATAGTAGAGGCAAAGATGAAGTACTTTGGCCACATCATGGGAAGAAAGCTTAGAGAAGACAATGATGCTGGGGAAAATGGAAGGAAAAAGGAAGAGGGGCCGACCAAGGACAAGATGGATAGATGACTGGATTGACCTTGGGGTTGGTGACGGCCAACAGGGAGTTCTGGTGTGGACTGGTCCATGAGGTCACAAAGAGTTGGAAATGACTGAACAGATGAACAACAAACAACTATATCTGTTTTATGTTATTAACATTATTTTGTTTACAACTGATATGTGTTTTATTGTATTTGTATATTTAATTGCACTACCATGTGCTTTTGCAAGCCGCCCTGAGTCCCTTTTGGGACATGGTGGCAGGATAGAAATAAAGTTGGCATTATTATTATTATTATTATTATTATTATTATTATTATTATTATTGGATGAGGGTACTTTCCAAATGACTATTTTGCAGTCACACGCACTCCGACATGAAAAGAGGCTTTCTTAGTGCTCAAAAATGTCAAAGCAGGGGGAGGGGGTTGCAAAGGAAACACAATTTTCTGCACAAGTAACTTGCTTCCTTCCTATGTAGAAAAAAAATCATGTTATCTGTGCAGGAAAGGTTTGTGCCCAAAAACTCCTGGCCAAGATGTTGCGGCAATGCCATAAGTATAATCCATCTTCTGATCCATCCCCAGCAACCACTTTGGATCCCAGCCATCTACACCAACTAAAAGATATCCGAGTTCTGAAGAATGACATGTCCGGCCCCCTCATGCCAGCAAGCTGTGGTGTGATGAACAGTGGCAGGAACTTCTGCCACAACTGCTCATTGAGCCATGGCACACCACAACGTGTCACCATTCAGTGCCCCACTCATCATTGGTGTAGAAATCTTTCAGTTAGTGCAGCTGTATGATTATCCAATGGAGCTTGTTAAAGATTAACATGATTCCTGCAATTAGAAGCATCTGCAAAACCCATGTAATTTAATAATTTTGAACCCCAGGATGTTTGTTTCAGCAGCCAAACTAAATAAAGCTCACAGTTTTTCTGTATAGAAATCCACTCTTCATTGCCCCCTCTTTTTTCATTCACTTGAGTGTATGGGGGGGGGGGGCATTTTGTAAATGATATTATCAAATGGCAGTCTACATATTTTCTACAGATCCACCTTTTTCCTCATTGCATTTTAAATGTATTGTTTCTAATATATATACAGTAGCTTTAAAATTAAATTATTATACAATATCAATTTGTAGATGTGCTGTATCTCAAAAGTCAGAGCTTAATTGTGTTTTACATGTCTTGGGGGCCAAATATGCCCATGAAATGTGAAAGCCAGTGGATAAGAAAGTTCCAGTTGATACATCCATGCAAGATCAGGTCAGCTCGCATCAGAATGTGCAAAACAAAGATTTGACAAACATCCCTAAGTAGCTGTGCTCAGAATTCAGTTTTTGATCCCAATTGATGTCTTCCTTGTGTGTCAGATTCATTATTCTGAATGGGGCACCAGTATTTTAAGGAAATGGATGAGATTAATAACCTCTTCAAATGGGCTGCCAGAATTTATTTGTCATTATTTTATTTATTTCCCATACTTGTACCCCGCATTTTTCACCCCAAAGGGAACTCAGGGTGGCCTCACAAAAAGCAACAATTTGATGCCCAATAGACAGATTCCAAAAAATAACAATTACAATATAAACCAGCAATAAAAAATTAATTGTTAAAACAGCAGTTAAAATCACACAAGTTCAAAATCGTAATCCAGAATCAGTCCATTGGTCCATCATTTTAAAAGATCTCAAGTATTGCATTGTTACTGTTCAAATGCTTGGTCCCATTGCCATGCATTGTGGTGAATCCAGCAATCACCGTCGGAGGATGTGGGGAACCCATTGCCCCACACCCTGCATCACCTGGCTTAGCTTTAAGCTGATCCTACAAGTGGAAGTACTGAAAATGCAGCTTCTCTTCATTCCTTCTGGTGCAACACGGGAAGCCTCCTGTATTGCTGCAGCAATGGCATACGACGGTTCCACGCTAGTTGACTCACTAGAAGTTCCTTTGCATTGTGAGATGGGAACCAACAGGCTCCATGGGTCAACCAGGGCTGAATCGGCATATGCCACCGAAGTAAGCCCCATCTGATGAAGTTGTAACATTTGTCAAATTCATAGTGTGGACAGCTAGTGGCATGAGACAGACCAGGGCATCTCTGTGAGCAAGGACTTTCTATATCCTCTGCATATAGAAGTGTAGAATTTTAAAAGGATTAGTCATTGCTTTAAAAGAGTTCAATACTCCTGAAGCATATGTTTGGGAGTCCAGGATGGTTCCACAAACAGAAATGCTCTGCTCAATAAAGGTGACTTACCATAAATGTATGGCAACCCTATCATAAAGTTTTCTTGGCAAGCTTTTTTTCAATAGAGATTTGTCATTGCCCTGCTTTTGGGCTGAGAAGGAGTGATTTCCCCAAAGTCATCTCATGGGTTTCCAGATATCTCAGCTGTAGCCTCCCAGAGTTCTAAAGGGAAAAGCAATTTAAAATGCAGTGTCATCAGCAGGACAGTCAACACAATTATCCTTTTCATAGGCAATATGCTAGGCAATTTTGTTCCTCTTAGTTCTGTATCAATAGTCGACACTATAGTCAATTCCACATTAATTAAAGTAAATTTGCATTTAAATTTCAGCTTTTCATATATTTTTCAAGCATGAATGGGTTTATTTGAATGAATTTAATATTTAATGGAGAATGGATTTTAATTAATTTCAACTAATGTTAACCAATTTTACATATAGCAGCTAATTTATATCTATTTTATCTTTTAAAGACCTGAAAAGTGCTTCCCCATCTTGCAACAGCTGAACACTGATGTAGTAGCTTCCCAGTTATGGAGTTACAGAGTCCTCTAATAAAACTTCAAACTTTCTTTTCTGAAATCATGCTTGATCTTACATACCCACATATTGTTGTCAATGTGTGCCTTCAAGTCATATATGATTTATAGTGGCCCTAAGGCAATCCTATCACAGAGTTTTCTTGGCAGGATTTCTTCTAAGGAGGCTTTGCCTTTCTCTGAGGCTGAGAGAGTGTAACTTGCCCAGTAGGTTTCTATGGCTGAGCAGGGATTCAAACCCTGAGCTCCAGAGTTGTAGTCAAGTGCCCAGATATAACACTATGGTGGCTCTATACCAGAATGTACATCTCCTTTTTTCTTTATTTCTTGAAAATAGCTACTGTATTTCCCCCAAAATAACACATTGTTTTATACACACTACGGCTTATTTTCAGGGGATATCTTATTTTTATTAAGTACTAGCTGACCCCTGCCACATGTTGCAAAGTCTGTGCTTTGTGTGTGTATATGTGTGTTTGCATATATGTGCGTGTGTGGTTTTGCCCATGCGTTGTAATGTAATTTTTTTATTTTTTGGCTTTTTAAGTCTCTTCCGCTGTGTTTTTCAGTGTTTTTATGAGTGATCATCACCCGTTGGCCTGATAGGTGTATTGTGTCAATTTGTCCAGTGGTTTTTGAGCTATGTTAATCCCACAAATGAACATTACATTATTATTTATATAGATACAACAATCTGCATTTATTCAAATATAGTGCTGAGTAAAATGGCAGCAACAGCTTTACTACTTCCCCTTGAGGACACACAATACTTAAAGCAGAGCGTCCTGCTCCTCACTTCACTTAGGAGACTTCCTGGGGGATGGACCAATGGGGCCACCACCAACCATGGCCCCATTGGAGCCGGTGATTCACTCCCTCTCTCCCTCAGAGAGGAAGAGAAGTAAGAACATAAGGGGAAGGAGGAAAAAGAGGAGGAGGAGGAGGAGGCAGGAAGTGGCGGGAAGTAAGAAGGAGTGAATCCCAGACTCACCTCCACTGCCACTGTGGAAAGTTCTTGCATTTCACTTTCTATGTCTTCCTCTAAACTTCAGCTTGTATCACTATGTCTTATATTTGGGGTATGGCTTATATTCTGAAAATGCTTAGATTCCTCCTATGGCTTATTTTATGGATATGTCTTATTTTTTAGCTATTAAAGCTGTATGTGGTGGGAAGTAGCATGATAAAACCACAATGTATAATTAAACAACATCTTTTTAAAAAACACATTAAATGTTATAGTGCAGGGAAAACTGACAATATTACATTGCAAAATATCTTTTGACTTGTTTCCCAGATTCTCACAGTTCTTGTTTTACTTACTACATGCATGCTACATAACCCATTTAGAATGAACAATGATAAATAGAGGAATAGTTCTCTTTACCTCACCCCAAACATATTGGGTTTGTATCCTTACAGCTGCTCAGATGACATTTAAAGGTCTGGGCACATGCCTTCAAATCACCTGATGATTTACAATGATTCCATGAATGTCATAGTTTTTCTTAGGCAGGGAATAAGATATAGTTTGTCATTTCCCCCGTCTTAAAAGCAGTCCTTGATATTCCTTAGTGCTTTTCCATCAAAGTCCTAATCAAGCCTGACTCTGCTTAGCTTCCAAGGTCAGGTGGGATCTGGTGCCTTCTCATTTGTTTAGCTTAGCAAGTGTGTCTTTCTTTTGGATGAGACAAAAAGCAAAAGGACAAGACTGCCATTTTCTGAAGGATTTCCAAGTCTATTTTCACATCTAGAAAAACACTGCCATCAACATACATTATGTCGATTAATTCCCTTTGTTTTTCTAATTTCAGCATGTGGGAAGCTGATGAAAATCACTGGTCCTGTTACTGTCAAGACATCTGGAACCCGGTTTGGTGCTTGGATGACAGATCCATTAGCATCGGAGAAAAACAACCGAGTATGTGGTGTTTATAATTTCTTGCTGGGAGCCAGGCAGGAATTCTCTCCTCTGGTTGATGAAGACTGGAATGCTAAGCAGAATAAAGAACAGTGTTTTAGCAAATGCTTTAAATTAATGAACAAATACAAACAAAATTGATATCAGTATACAGGAAAGTCAGATTTTTGGACTAAATCCTCAATCTCCCAGATGTAATCACCACTATTGGGGAATGCTGGAAACTGTCATCTTAAAAAGTAATGTATCTATATTTGGCAAATGGAGTCAGATCATTCATCTGACTTACAGCTTTCTTTACATCAACTAGCCACTTTCCATTTTTCTGCTAAATGTGAGTTTTGCATTTTAAAAATGAACATTACATGCAGAAAACTGGGTATGATGTGCAAAATATTTCTTTTTCCGTACAAACCTGTCTTCGGACAAAAAAAACAACCCAAGATTTTTTTCACAAATGATTTTTAAATACATTCTGAAATGTGAATGTTTTATGTTTTTATAAAAACCATAGAAACCCTTTTAACACTTCTCAACAAGGAGGGAGGGGGGAGAAATTTCTTGCTCCTGCATGTGAGAAGGAGCCCATTTCACACTACACAAGTGCAGTAAACTCCCCTTTAATTCCCATGGCAACATCCCTTTGAACCCTGGGATTTGTGTTTGAGGATATTTAAAATTCTTCATCAGAGAATATAACATTTTGATTGTGAGGTGTAAATGGGGGCCAGATTACCAAGCTCATGATTCCATAGTATGTTGCCAGTGTTAAATATATCACTTATAATTGTCTAGTATAAAAGTGCCCAAATAATAAATGTGGATTTCCATCCTTAATCTAAACCAAGGTTTCTGCTCAAGGGTTTTATTTTCTTCCCAAGTTTGCATAATGAACAAGATTGGTTGGTTTTTATTATTTAAATGTGAAAATTATGATAAATTTCTTAGATGGTACAACATGAAGGCATCAAAACCATGTCAGTAAAGGCAGATAAAAATGAGATCTAGGGACTTCATCACATGGGGGAAAACCCGTCTGATGTGGTTGTAAGGCTATAGCCCTGAACTGCTTACATCACTTTCTTATCTGTGGAATGAGAAAGCCTTCTATATAGATGGATAGCTTCTTGTCTTCCATATTCAGCAGCAAGCAAAAGCTCATAACATTTGTTTTTCTTCTGCTGGATTCCAGTTGTTTCTAGATAATTGATGTGGCATCTGTCTCCTGTTTCCGAAAGGAAGCGGACATTTGCTTAAAACAGTACATTGATTTGCAAATTATGCTTCTTCAGATGTTCACAATCTATTTTTCCTCTGCTTTCAGGTCTGGTACATGGACAGTTACACCAACAACAAAATAGTCCGTGAATACAAATCAATAGCAGACTTTGTCAGTGGTGCAGAATCAAGGACATACAATCTCCCTTTCAAATGGGCAGGAACCAACCATGTTGTCTACAATGGTTCTCTCTATTTCAACAAATATCAGAGCAACATCATCATCAAGTATAGCTTTGATACTGGGCGGGTGCTTGCTCAACGTAGCCTGGAGTATGCAGGCTTTCACAATGTTTACCCATATACGTGGGGCGGCTTTTCAGATATTGACCTGATGGCAGATGAAATTGGCTTGTGGGCTGTCTACGCAACTAACCAGAATGCTGGAAACATTGTCATCAGTCAACTGAACCAAGACACATTGGAAGTGATGAAAAGCTGGAGTACAGGATATCCAAAGAGAAGTGCTGGGGAATCCTTTATGATATGCGGCACCTTGTATGTCACCAATTCCCACTTAACTGGAGCCAAGGTCTACTACTCATATTCCACAAAAACTTCCACATATGAATACACAGACATACCCTTTCATAATCAATACTTTCATATATCCATGCTCGACTACAATGCCAGAGATAGAGCTCTCTACGCCTGGAATAATGGACACCAAGTCCTCTTCAATGTCACTCTTTTCCACATAATTAAAACAGAAGATGATACATAAACTATGATCTAATGCTAATTCTGGCCACCCAAAAGCAGTGTCATTTGTGCTGAACTCAAAAGCATCCTGCTGGGTTCCTTTTCAGTTCTTTTTCCAGTATGAATTAAGAAAGAAAGTTTTTTCTACAGTATAATGTATTCCAAATATGGTGGAACCTTTCTTTAAAATGACCTGGTTGGAATTACAGGTATCTTTCTTAACTCTACACAAAGCCTGCCATGACTTTGGTATGGAAAGCACTAAAGTTGATTCAGTGGCTAAAGACATTTAACAAACGTTTAACAAAAAAATAAAAGTTTAATGATCTGCCTTATATTAGAGTCAGAGACTAATGGTGGCTTAACTGCATGAATGTCTTTTTCTACCATACATCATTTTTTTAAGAAAAGAAAAACCTGTCTAATAGCTCAACATCAAAATGTATTTGGACAGTAATTTATCAGAATGCACATCCATACTCTTTTGTTTGTGTTTTTCAAAAACACTGTTCCAAAATCAAATAATTAAAAATTTGATTGCTCTCATCGTTAGGAGAAAAAAGTAAAATTCCATTGGCTATTGCACAATTTCAGATGCGGTGCTGTACAGTCTGTTTTTAAACCTCTTGCAAGCAATTTCTCAATGATATGTATTTATACCATTGTGTCCACCATTGTGCAATTGTATCTCTTCACTTCTGTGAAAGTCAACTATTTTTTATAAAATATAATTGAAGTTTCAACACAGGTCTGCTTATGGGTTCATTTTGGAATAATGTGGATAGGAAAAGTTCACAATCATTAAGATTTTCACTTCCAGGATGACACAGTTTAATTGATAGCTTTCAACTTCTTCTGAGGCCAAGGTTATCTGTAATAATGGATGGTGAGCACTATCTGCTCAGTGTGAACTTGCCACAACATGACATGAAAGCCAAAAGGAAGGCTATTCTAAAATGCAAAGTTAAGTTTCAGGACTTTTCTTTGAGTAGTAGAAGTGTTTCTTTGAGTAATAGAAGTGTTTCTCTGAGTACTAGAAGTATTTAGCTATTATCTAATGTCCATAAACATCTTTACCATAAATCCCCTCAAAGTATGTCTATTCCTTGTCAGTGTCACATTGAAAAGGTTCCAAGTACTTGGTCCAAACAAAAATTGTTGATATGAAAACCTTGTACAGGGGTAGACATTTTTAAAATTAGACTTGGTATGGCAAGGGCCTTGATATACAGTTTAGCATATAACATTGGATGAATATAGAGTGGAAGTAGTGGCTGACAGATTTTCAGCTATGTGAAACCCAGACTGATCTGCTATTCCAACACTATTCTCTGCTTTTTCTCTCCTTTCTTCCTACTATGTGATTTAGTTTTCCCTCCAATATATTGTTCTATGTTCCAGCCTAGAGGTGGGCAAATGGTGTTTCATGCACCCTGAAGGTCATTTTTGCAGCTGACATCCCTCCATGCCTCCCTTGTCCACACTTACTACATGAATTATTATAGTTTTCTGTTCCTAGAGATCTCCAGAAATGGTGCTTGTCTCCTCAAATAAGGTACAGGGCCTCCCCCAACCTCCCCAGTCCAAAAGCAGAGAAAAATACTCTTACTCATCTCTGGGCTTTGAGCAGTCCATGTTGGGTTAACAAGGCAAGAGTGTCAAACTTTCTAATTTTACTTGACTAATCCTAACAAAATTGAAACTTCATTGTATTGAGGCAGACATTACAATATGGACACACATCTACAGAGTGGGAAAGTGGGTTTGCAACTACCTGAACAGTGCAGAAGAACCACAAAAACACAAAATGAAAAGCTCGGGGGGGGGGGGGGGGGGAGAAAGAAGAGAAATTGAGTTCTTCTGTTGCCTCTCATTCTTTGGACCCTTCCACACAGCCATATAACCAGAATATCAGGGCAGATAATCTATAATATCTGCTTTGAACTGGATTATCTGAGTCCACACTGCCATATAAGCCATTTCAATGTGGGATTTATACAGCTGTGTGGAGGGGGCCTTTTTCTAACTCTCATCTGTCTGTCGACTTATAAACAATCTATCTATCTACAGAAATATCTATACAAATATGGGAACCAATAGGATATTGTGGTTGAATAGGAACCAAGGCTATGAGAGAACAGGGCCCCACTCCCTGCTCTGCCATGGGCAAGACATGCCCCTGGGGCCTTGTTGCTTCACCGTACAGGACACCTCCCCCATCGTTTGGAGGGGATGGGACAAGGCGCATTGGTGCCCTCTCCCTACCATATGGGGGGTGGGGGTGGCAACGTGCATTGCCCTGTTGCCCGATCATATGAGGAAAGGGCAAAAAATTAAGGTAGGTCCATTGGAGTTACCAAAAAAAGCCACTTTCCTCCTCCTCTTTCCTCCTCCTCCTCCTCCTCTTCCTGAGAAATGCTAGGAAATTAAAGTTTGGAGCTGCCAAAACAGCAGCAGCAACGCCCTCCCGGTGCACAGATCCTTTTTCCCCTGCCTCCCTTGTTGCCCACACTGTTTTCCTTGCCACCCAGACCCTTCCCCCCTCACCTTCTTTGCTTCCAAAATCCTATTCCCCTCCAACCAATCAGGGAGAGCTTTGATTGGCATAAGGGGGTTGGCTGGATGGGCCCTGGGATTGCTCCTATCATCATAATTATCATTATTACGAAGGCTGAATGGCCATCTGTTGGGGGTATTTTTATTGTGCTTTTCCTGCATGGCACAAGGGGATTCGACTGGATGTTCAGTTTATGTTGGTTAATTTCAAATATTGTATTGTTCTTTCTTTCTTTCCTTTTTTTCCTTAGTACAAACGAGATATGTGCAGTGTGCATAGGAATTTTTCATTTTTTTCCAGTTAGTTCACACAAACACTCTCCATCCATCTGCCTCTGGCCTGGCCCATCTGTCAAATTTTAAAACGCAATGCGGCCCTGTGTCCAAAATTTTGCCCATGCTTGTGAGACACATTGTATTGTAATGTAATGTAATAAAAAAACACTTCTTGGGGTTTCACGAGAAACTTTTGCTTCAAAAAAAGGCTCCACAACTGAAAAAGTTTGAGAACCCCTGCTCTACTGTGAAGCTTTTTCTCCTATTTCGAGAGTCAAGTTCTCTGTTACTGTGTGAGGTGGAAAAGCAAGTGATACCTCTCCTTTCATTGTACATTCCCAAGGTATTCCCAGGGTATTCACAAAGGCCAGCCAAGTCATTCTGACATTTGAGCTAAAAAACAAAACAAAAAACCACAAGCACCCCTCGCCATCTCTGTGGTAGTAACCAATGCAACAATAATGACTTAAAAACAAATACTGCTGACTTTTCATTATAATGAACATCATCCACCTCACTCTCCCTAATAGTAGTCCAGTCCCAAGTTCACAGCCATAGAGAAAGAGGTTCAAGGATTGCTAAGCATTCAGAGCCCAGTACATCCATCCTTCTGTATCCACAGACTCTGCATCTATAGATTCAACCATGCAGTTTGGAAAAAAAATTAAATTCCAAAAAGCAAACTAAGAAACACAATTTTACTACATCATATTATATAATAGGGCTTGAGCAACCATGAAATTTGATATCAACAAGTCTCCTAGAACCAAATTCTAACAAATAATAAAGGCCCACTGCATCCCTAACAAGCAATGATATCTGTGTATTGTATTTATGTACTGGGGATGCTTTCCTTGTTCTAGGTTTTAGTAGAAATTCTATTGCAGGTCTTGCTAGAACACTTCGCATTATGATTGTTGTTTCACAGATGTAATCTGTCACAGCTGCCTAGCAAACCATGGGAAAACGAACTTCCTTTGCAATGAAAGTTGCTCCATGCTGAAGAGAATAATCAGTTCATCTCAATGCTGAGTGCAGAAGGATAACACAATGCCTTAATCCTTGACTGCTCCTCTCTCGGATAATATTTGTTTTCAGTCCAGTTTGGTGGGCCAAGTTCCATTCTCCTTGTAAGGTTAGATCCATAAGAATCATAAAGATCATGTCACAAATCACTATTGCATATTTTTTTAAAAAAACAAAAACAGTTAATAATGACCATAAATTCACAAGGATTGGAGAATATGCAAACAGTTCATTGGATATTTGGGTTCAAATTATATTAATCTCGTAAGGTTCCATAACTATTGTGCCAAGAGCTGTACTTTTCAGGATATTACACAAAATGTTAAAAACAAGCAATCGGGCCTGCACTATTGTTTCACCAATGGCTGCAGTGGTTATAATGTTGCACAAGAATGGTCCCCTGCACAAAAAAGTGATTCACAACTACACACACAAGCACTACAAGTTCCTACTAGTGCTGGTTAACAGTATAATCCAACATACATCCTATTGTAATGTTATGCTATGCGACTAATGAATGTGATTTTGTACTGGTTGTCCTCAAGATGGCAGGGTTCCTTAATGTCAATAATTTTATGAAGCCGATGGTGAATCTGAGAGAGTAACAGACTCAGGATTAAACTATTTTCAGGGAAACAGACTTCTACATGCACAACATTGCAGGATGGATGCATCATATAACATTGATAAGGATATACAACGAAGGTGGAGGAACCCCTTTGAGCATGAAGACAAATTCAATTTCAGAAAAATTACTTGGTGCCACATTACAATTGTAGTTATAGTCAAAGGCTATAGACTAGAGACAAAAACACTGCTGCATTTTAACATAAAGTTCTCACATTCAATAAGGTTTAGGGGACCGCCAACTTTGTGGGAGATGATGCAAAAGCTTGGAATCCACCAGAAGATCGATTGTGATTTAATTCTGTTTCTTGAAGCCTTCGTTTCGTGTATTTCTATATATTTTAAAAAATACTCAAGACAGCTAACAACACTGTATTCAATTTATACTAACAATTGTAAAAAATGGGGGCAAAACAAATAAGGAAGACATGATTGCAGATGATAAACACAAGTCAGAGATGTGGTAACTTAAGAAATTCTAGACTCTACATCCCTCTCTTAAGTCCTGCCTACTCTCTTACCTGTAATGTCATCTGAAATCACCTAAAACTACATAAAATAATATGGATAGAAGACCTAGACGCAAACTAAACCATATATAGCAGTGTTGATTTAAACAATACTTTAAAGACATAATAACTCTTACTTTTGAGCGTAAAGGACCAAGTCCAAATTAAACTTTGGCATGGATTAAGAGGGTATTTTGCTTCCACTTGTAATAATCGACAATGTTGATTCCTCCAAAAGTGACCTGATCAAGCAAAGTGATGCTTTGGGATCAACATTGCTGCTACTTAAA